GCGTGCTCAAGAAGCTGTACTCTAAAGTCCTACTGCGAGAGTTGCTTCTTGCTGCTTTACCTTCTTTTGCCACATTGTTGCAGGACTATGAAGTCATATAAAGATACGTTAGCTTGGCAATGCCAAGTTGGCATACTCAGGTTGGCCGGGCCGAGCTCAACCATCCGCTCTTTCGATGCAAACTTCAGTGTTGACAAAGTCTGTGAGACATCTGTGATGCAAGGCGATACCTGAACAGAACCCAGACCGTCGAGGCATAATCTTGGCACTGGTGACCTCAGCCTACACTTAAGTGTGCTATCATGAGTACTTTGGCGCTGCCACCCAGCGAATCCTTGAGCATGAGGGTGAGCTTGGAATTACGATAAGGGACATGTGTTTTCGACTGACTTCCTCCACCATCCTTTTGTTGTGCATCCAGGAGAGCATTCAACACGTCACCCTAGGGCATATGAGAGGAATAGACAACCAAGTGAGACCAACAATACTGACCAGAGTACTCAGAGATTTGTTGATCATCTGGGCTTCCCTTAATGTACTGCCCTTAGCGCCACTCCGACCAACATTTTCGCTACCGGCCAGATCTGGGACGCTCGAGCACTTTTACTGGATTGAATGTGATTTCTAAGTAACTTACCGATGAGATTGAGTTTCCCGTGACGACAAGTTGCTGTATATGGGCATGGCAGACTCGTTCTCAGCGTGACAACACAGTGACTCCTCGAACTATGCGAATTGATATTGGTCGATGATGTTCGACGAGTTGCCACCGCCGCTTGGAAAGCCTGAAGAAGCCGGGTCATAGACACATGATCTTGGCAGCAAGAAGCGTGAGCACCTTCAGAGCGTCGTTCAGATTTTCTAGAGACAGTTCTGTGAGACCCTCGACAATAATGTTATCATTCCCTCCCCGAAGTTGATGTCCCGAGAGAGCCTTCACTATCGCAGACCTGGTGTAGACAAATGCAACTCTGATTTTGGTATTAGAATCAATAATACAATATA